GCCGTATAACACCCTGGTAAAGTTTCGTAGAAATTGGTCGATTTTTTGATGAGTTGTCATATGATATACCCCTATTCATTATGTTTTTGATATGTAAAATCTTGTGTAACCACAATGCATAAATCGAACTTCCGTCATGCTATAACCAGGCGTTTCAATAGCACTCATATAGTATAACTGTAAATAAGTACATAAATATTCTCCAAACCACTATTAAAATTTATTATATAAATATGATGTGTGTACATATATATACTCTTATTATTTTACATTTTTGAAAAGTGTGAAAAGTGTGAAAAGTGTTTAAAGTCATAATTTTCATAACTATATATATACATGACTAAAAATAAAAAAGCTTATACATTGCATATATAATTCATAAGAAATAACTATAAAGAGTAAACTATACGACATTCTTTAAAAAAAGAGAAAAAAATAAAATAAAAGATACTGTGTAGTCAAAAAAAGGAAGAATTATATTATTATGTAATATTTAATATGTAAAAATCTTAAAATTTTCATAATAGTTCAAGGAGTTTTAAATAATTTTGTGTTGCCTCAAGAATTAGAACATATGGAATAGTTGAAATTTTTGCTTATAAAAAGTTTTTTTTCATATATGATTTTGACAAAATCTCATGAATATTATATAAAATAAAAAGGAAAAGAAAAAAATTAATTATATAGTAATAATAATTGAAAAAAAAGATTTCAAGTATATTATCAAAATATAAAGTAAAATAATTAACGCAGTGCCCATTAGAACTTATTGCATATGAAATGGATCAAAAAATTTTTATGGCCATAAATCACCAAGCTCTTTTCTTGTCTTGTTGATTTCAACTTTTAATTCATCTAATGCAGTCTTTAAAGTTTTTACGTCATCAAATTTACGTTGTTTGGTCGCTTCTACGATATAACCTTGAACCAAATTTTCTTGTTCCAAAAGTACTGATAATTGTTGTCTAGTCTTTTCTTCACCTTTTAAAGACTTAGTAGAAGATGTAGAAATAGTTCGAGTTCTACCATTTTCAATTACTGAAAGAAGCATATCTGGTGAAGATTCATGGTAATCTTCATAATAAGGTTCATTATCATGATGATCTTTCTTAAGGAGTTTTGGTAAAACTTGAAGTGGTAACATATTTTGTTGAAGATATTGATTAGCTGCTAAATGAATATTGGCTTGTAACCGCTTTTCAGTTTTAGAATGCGCAAGTAATGAATTAACTTTTTTACTAATCGCATCAAATTGTGCGAAATTTTCCAAAAGCTCTTTACGCGTTCGTGCTGCGAGCTGATAATCTGCATGTGTTTGATTAACTATTTCTTGACTCCTGTATAAAAAATGTAATTTTAATTAGTATTAATTAATAAAAGAAAATTGTATATAAAATGGGAATATAAAAAAAGTGATATTGTAACTTTAACATGATAAGCATGTCCTGAAACTTTGGTAATGTAGTATCAATTGCGATCTTGATTTTCATTAATTTCTATTTTTATTTGATTAGATTATTAGATATAAATCTAAAATTAACATTAATTATTCATTCAAAATTAACCTGATACAACATGACGACTGGTGGAGTCTTTGATATTTCTTCATTATATTCCTTTCTCCTATTAACAAAAATGATAAATAATTAATGATTACAAAAAAACATAATATCATAAATTTACTATCTATCTATCACACCTTTTGATATACCTGAATACAGCATTTCTGCATGTCTTACATGCTCTGACTTCACCAACAGAGTCATTATCTGCTGTTTCTGAAAGTCAAAAAAAAAAGAATGAGTTAAAAAAAAATGTGATAAACATAGTGATAATACATATAATTAAATACCTAAGAATTTACCTGAACAGCTAGTTAAATTCAAGGAAATTTTGGAAGAACATTTTTCACAAACCACGCATCCACACAGGCGGCAATGATGTCTGCGATTTGTTATCTTGCCAAATTGAGATCTATGTTCAAACAATTAAATTATATAAATTATTATTATTATTTTTTCTTTAAATAGGTTTAATAAATATTCTATTTTTTTTACATACTTGCACAAAGGGCAACTTGTAACTGATGCATCATCTTCCCATTTAACAATAGACTGCTCAGAAGCTATTTGTTATTTTGTTATTTTGTTATTGAATTAAATTTTTTTTTTAAAAATCAAAAAATAAATCCTACTAAACCACAAAAATTTGTAGTAAAGTAATTTATATTTACCTCTCCTTCTATGCATCATAGTTAAAGGAGGTTTCAATCCACTTTGTGTGTTATTCTCAGGGCTTGCTTGAGTAGCATAAACTTTGGCAAGCTAAGTATACAAATAAAAATAATGATTATAGTAATAAATAAGTAAATAAAAAATTATAACATTAAATTTACAGTAATAACATAAATAAAAAATAAAAAATACCTTTTCCAAACGTTTTTCCAAACGATTTCCTTCTAAATGCGCCCTTTCAATGCCTTTGGTTCTGTGTTTAATGAATGTTGTAGTGTGACTTCTCATCACCCCTAATTAAATTCAATTGTATATTGATAAAGAAATGTTAAAAATATATATATATAGATAAATAAGAATAAATGAAATTAAATTACCTTCAGTATCTAAATAACCTTCACGAGATTGAAAACAATCATCACAAACTCTACACCAAAAACCTTCAGCAGGATCATGATAGGCTTGTTTATTCAATTTCATAGGTACACGGCAATGAGTATCACAAAAAAGTTTTCCGCACCTATATAAAATTCATTTAACTTCTATTTTATTCAAAATTTGTACAATAATAAAAATTTAAAAAATAAAAAAAAATAAAAAAAAAATAAAGATTCTACTTTCTACAATTATGTTTTCCATTTCTCAAGTTTAAAGATTTATCGCAAGTAGAATTGGAGCACGTATCATTTTCACCTTCTAATTGCCAATGAATCTTTGTAACAAGATCGGATTGTTGATCCAACCAATTCGAATCAGGATCGTTTAATTTATTAATAGCCATTTGAGGTAAATTAGCAATATTTTTTGCCTTTGATGATAAAGGATTCAAAATAGTTGATTGAGCTTTCTTAAATAATTGCATAAAACCATCTCTTTGATCAGTAGATGTATCATCAATTTCATCTATATGAATATCATGAATATCATATAAATGCCTATAAAGTTGGTGAATTGAAATCATAGATTCATTGCATATTGGGCAAACACAATGTTCAATGTTTGAAACATCATCAAAAGCGAAAGATTCCCGTTGGGAATTATTTGCCGGAAAAGAATTCGACGGTGTCGATAAATTTGAGAACGAATTGGAGTCAGATACGGAACTCATCATCGGCTTAAAAAATCCCGTAGGGAATCAATCAACTAACAATCAACTAAGATGAAAAATAATATATATATTTATGTATAATATGTTGAAATTTTTTTTTTTTTTGAACAAGGTTATTGAAATGGGTATCAAGGGATAATCAGGGTAATAGGTGTAATAGGGTAGGTAAATCGGAATTTATAAGTATTCAAGGTTGAAAATAAAATTTGATAATCTCGGGTATTAATATGATAAACTTACTTAATAAGGACAAATAAATTGCTGAACAGTAGATCAACCATTTTCGATACATATGAAATACTTTTGTTAATAAAGATTTTTGGGATTTTTTTTTTTAAAATTAAAATCGATTTAATCGAACTTGTGTTTTGTCTTAATGACTTACCGATCTGCTAACAGCAATATTAGCTAAAGAGCAAAGAAAAAAAAAAAGATTTTTTTTTTTTAATATTATTATAGCTGTATTCAATAGCAAAGAAAAAAAAAAGATTTTTTTTTTTTAATATTATTATAGCTGTATTCAAAGAAAAATTTCACATACTTTATTATTTATTTAACACTCAAACACAAACATTTATACTTGAAAAGTGGATAAAGATTAAAAAGAAGTTTTTTTTTTCCTTTAGAAAAAAAAAAAAAAAAGGATAGGGAACGAAATTCTAGGAAATTTTTATAATTATATATTATTATCAATTCTTTTAAGACATTCTTTTTAAAGTTATTTTTGAAGCTATAGTAATTGTACCTGTGGGAGGTTCGACACTCCAAATGGTCCGTTTTTTTTAACTCTTATAAAGAATGCCAAAATATCGAACCCTAAATGTTCTCTTTTTTTTTTTTTTTTTTTTAGAGACAAAAACGGTTATCTAAATAAAAAAAAAAATTCCAGTATTGTTTCAAGCCGACCCTGATTTATAAATTTAAGCACGTGATAAGGATTCACGTGGTAGATTCCTTTTGTCGCAAATATTCAAGGTTTTTAAAAACTTTACGTAACTTTGCTGGTAGTAGTCATTATAACATTATTAACATTATTGACAGACACATACTTTTCTCCAAGGATACAGTTGTCTTTAATGTAGGTGGTACAAATTTCCAAATTCAACGTAGTCTAGTTCAAAGTTATCCAAATAGTTATTTGGCAACTTTGGCTAATTCCTCCGAAGGTCAAGAAATATTTGTTGATCATAATCCATTGGCCTTTAGTGTGATACTCGATTTTCTTCGATATAAACACTTAATGGTACCAAAAAATGTAGCTCAAGAGTAGTTGAACTTCAACTAAGAGAATTTGGAATTCCTTATAATAATTTAACGGAAGTCATTGATTGCCTAGTTACGATGCTACGATTGGAAATTCGTCATTAAGAGATACAGTACTTCAGGCTTCAACTCGAAGGTAAAACATGGGGTCTTTGCCTTAAAAATGACCTTACGGTATCATGTACCGTAAGGTCATTTTCAAGGCAAAGACCCCACATGTTAAAAAAAAGAATAAATATATCTCAAGAGAATTTATTATTTTTTTTTTTAAAAAAAAGAATGCGCTTTCAAGCAAAAATGTCGGTCCTTCCCTTGAGCCGATATCCATTGTCTGACCATTGTTGATAGTGCATCTCATGGATCGCTCATGAGTGTTTCATGGTTCGTCTCATGCTGCGTAGAGAACAATT